CAGAAAAAAAACAACATAAAAGACACTATTATTTATATCTATGCTTATCATCTTATAAAAAGAGCTCATTATGGGTCGAATTAAGTAAGATTAAAACAACCAAAAAGCAAAAATATGTTTTTTGAACCTAAACAATGTTCAGTCGCTCGAAATTTTGCGCTCTCTAAATCATCGGTGATGATTAGATTATAATAATAAAAACACAAAAAAGTCTCCAATTTGAGTGATGAATGTTTGCAAAAATATTAGTCTTAACGAAATGTGGTAGACACGGAGTTATGTCAAGGGCTACCAGCGCCTAGCTAATACCATTGAATTTATTACTACAACCCAGTAACATTCTTGTCTTCATTACTTTGTTAGGAAGTAATGTTTCAAGAACAACGGTTGTCCAGGGAGGTAATGGGCTCGGGGTCGCGCTCAACCAATCTTTATTAAAGATTTTTTCTCTTAACAATAAATATTAATAATAATAATATTACTATTATTATTATTAATATGCAACAGACAGTATCAGACAAGTGTAGGCTGTGCCAGCACGTTCGAATCTATTCAGCACATAACTGGAGGGTGCGGAGCGCTGGCTGGTACAGAATATCTCAAGAGACATGACGATGTTGCAAAAATTTATCATCAGGCAATTGGTCAAAAAATAAAAGTTAATGAATGATTCAATACCTTAGTACAACCCTAAAGAACTTATCCAGAAGGAAGGAATGAAATTGTATTGGAATCAATCTTTTATAATAGATCATACTGTGCTCCATAACAGACCTGATATCGTGTTGATCAACAGTAATATGAAAACAGCTGAGATAATAGATATCGCTGTACCAAATGATGGGAACATCAACTCAGTCTGCGCCGAAAAAATTCGGAAATATCAATCTCTTATAGCCGAGTTAAACGATCGGAACAAAGTGACAGTAAGGACTTTAGTGATCTCTAGCAATCGGCTGATTCCAAAATCCACTGTAAAAGCTACCGAGAAGTTAAGCCTCTCAACAGCTACGATAAATGAAGCCCAGAAAGCTGTGCTGCTGAACACTGCGAGAATAGTAAAGAGCTTTATAATATCCAACAAAACTACAAAAATTAACGTGAAGTGGTTGAAGTTAATTCTGCCCCACCCCAGGAGAATATCTTTTTTTAAAGTAATAATAAATTAATTAAGATAACCCACTTTACAGAGGCTGGGTGTGCCCTAGGAGGGTATCCTAACCCCATTGCCGATCTACGGCTGACGAAACATAATAAATAATTTTCTGCCACAGTCGGATTCGAACCTGGGATCTACCACTCCCAAGCAGTCCAGTGTCTAACTCATGCGTTTCCTAACGAAATCGATCAATGAAATTTGTACTTTTTAAGTGGTCCTGGTGACTTAAAACATCTTAATCAGTAAATGAGAGGTCTAGAAAGTTTTTGTTTCGAAAAAAGAAGAGCAGCTGACACTTCATATTGATGTTATTTTTTGGCAGTCGTTTAATGAACGAGGAACCTAAATCTCAAGAATTTTTGCGGTATTTTTAAGGCGTAAAACATCATGATCATCATTCCTGACCTCTGCATTTCTCTGTAAGTGCGATTTTATTCGACCAAGCTCACATAACATCGTCATCAAAGAAGAAGTCCTACCATGGCCACCTTCATCTTTACGGCTGTGTAGAGTCTTTTTTAAATCATCGTTGCATAGTGCGCTCACACTACCATACGAACGTATGCTTTCCTTTTTTTTTTAGCATGTAAAAATCATAGAAACTAGCCTATCATTTCTTGAAAAAATCCCTCTTAAAAAAACAAAAAAAAAAAAAGACCCGGACTTACGCGGTGTTGTTACTTCAGTAAAGCTTCAAACTTATCGTTTTGTTTGATCAATGCGCCTGTTTTAGTTTTAAATAATGTCTTCTTCGTTGACTTCTATTAATATATTTCATTTAATTATTATTTTTTGTGTGTAAGAAGACAAATATTTTAGTCAAGATTAAGTGGAAGATATAAATGTTAAAATGAAGTGGGTAATAAAAAAAAAGATATCTAGTGGGAAATATTAAATAAGTAAAGTTAAACATTTTCTTTAGAGAAATTTACAAGTGTATTAGTTAACTAAATGAGGCAGACAATTGCTTTAATATTCATTGCCAACGAAAATACAGAAAAAAAGATTTAAATATATATATGTATCAGAACAATATATATATAAATATATATCGCATTAGTTTGGTACCTAATTAGAAAATGTATGTTATCTTCTTGTATATCTTTTAGTTATTTCTTAGTTGTTTCTTTTTATATAATTTGTGTCATTTGTAAATATAAGATTGTTTGGATTTCAATTTAATCCATTTATTATAAATATATATAAATATGTGTGTGCGTGAAATCTCGAAAAATTATTTTGAAAGAGGACATATTGAAAGCTATTAACTTTATTCTGGGACTACGTCCCTTGAGAATAACAATATTGTACATAAAATTAAACATTACATCTGGCCAAAATGTATATTACAATAAACAAAAACAAACAAACAAACAAAAAAAACAACTAAAAAATAAGGGATAAAAGAAGTGTTTACATAACTGTACAGATATCGGAAGCCATAATATGAGAAATAATGTCCTAATACTGCAAAATAGTTGCTATACACAATACGCTATGAAATTATAAATGAGCGACAGATAATAATAAAGATGTTATAGTAATAGTAGTATGTTCGTAGAACATAATAGTATAATCGAAATACAATAATAGTGTAATCGTACATACACAATATATACACCCAATAATACAATAATAGTGAGAATACAATAATAGTACAATAGTATATATACAATATACATATATTAATATATATATACATATACATACATACACATATACATACATACAATGCAACAATAGTATAATAATACAATATAGGCTACCCAGCGTCTGATTGAATTGTAAGGAGGAATTGGAAAAGGAGGGTTTTAAATGTGGATAAGGATGGTGCATGGCGGATTTTAAGTGGGATGGAATTCCAAAATGTGGTGGATCGGACAATAAAGGAGTGTTGAAATGAGGCCGATTTGTGGAAAGGGGTATAAAGGTCGGAAGGACGAGATCTTGTGGAGAGGGAGTGGATAGATGACTTGAATTGAAGGAGATTGAATGCGTAGGACGGACGATGATTATAGATTATTTGGTAAAGGAATGTACCTAGGAAGTACTGTCTTCTGAAGGAGGGGAAGAGCCACCCTGACTCGGCGTAGTAGTGGGAAACATGAGAACGTCTCGGGGTCCCATTGACAAATCGTACTAAGCCATTCATTATTCTTTTCAGTCTGACTCCAAGTTCCGATGAGAGGCCACCGAGCTATTAAATGTATTTATTTAAAAAAAAAAGTATGTTTTTTTTTTGTTGTGAAAATCAAGCTTTGACATCTTAGTAAAGACAGAATTATTTTCAACTAGTCAAATGCTGTAAAGAAAAAAATGTTTTTATTTGGAAGAGGATTAATTAACGTATTGACAACCATCCAAAGAATAATCTCTTAATAATCTTTCATAGTCTGCTATAAAGAGGATTAATGTAAAGAAAACATTATTTTTTGGACAATCTAATAAAATAAATGTAATAAGAAAAAGTACTGAGTAAAATGTTCTTATCTGTATCAAGATGGGATAAAACAGTGGGCACCTGGAGGATAATTATAACGATGTGCTGAAACACTGAAAAGATCTGATGGCGTATTTATAACAATTGGAGAAGCTGACATCGGCATTCGAAAAAGCCACCCTTCCACTCCTCCTTACCTAAGAACTGCTATCAGCAATTATAAACTCTTCTCATTAAAACTGTCTCCCTTATTCTCTCGTTAAATTACACGAACAAGGAGCTCTTCATTAAAACTCTGATTTAAAGGTGACACGGTAAACCTTTGTCATTTGATATATAGGGCTCACTAACTGACTCCTCAGATAGGGAGGGTTATGGGGAGTTAGTTGGGAGGTTAGGAGCTTCATAAAGGTATGGTCGTTATACCTACGGTTGATTTATCTCATCTTGTCGCTACGATGAAAAGGCCCTCTGGTTAATTAACCTATCGATAACTCCGATATTGCTTCTACGCGATTACGATTGATTTATTTAACCACTTTTTTTGTTTGATAATTAAAGAAATAAATCAAATAAAACTTTGTAATCCAATTGTGAATACGATAATTGAACAAGAAAAGGCTTATAAACGTATACAATGTTGTATAATGTTCGAGAACAGTCATTAGTCAAGATACAAATAAAATGTCATATTAGAGACCTGATGGTAAAACCAGATAGAACATTTGCTCACATAAAAAAAAAAAAATTATTAACAAAAAATTCCGACTATATAAATAACTCAATTCATACTAAGATAATGTAATTGAATATCTACTTAAACATCTTAATAAATAAAACAATATCAGATCTGCTCAGCCACCACTGATTCTCATTACACACTCGATTGAGTGACAGGCGCTGGGATTTCCTAGACCCTTGCCTATCTTCCACGAGTTGGTGTAAAGGATTGGCTCGAAGTTCTCCTGAGTGAATGAACTTTTATATCTAGGATTGAAATATGTCTAGGAATGAAATTTTGTCTATAATTATGTATCCATTTAAACAAGTCTGGCTCGCCAGATTGTAAATAGTGTATATAGATATGTATGTGTTCTTTTTATTTATTTATTTTTTAGTTATCTTATTATTATACATTGTATATATATATTATTTTTCTGTATAATTTATTTTATTCATTGTACATAGAGTGTGAATGTGACCTCTGAACACTATTATAAATGTCCTTGGAGACAAATTGTAATATTTTTCAATAAATAAGTTAAATAAAAGAAAACACTTTATCTTGCACTGCCATTAGGAAGCGGAGGGCAATAAAATATCTTGGATGTTTATTCGCCTTTGATCCTGGGGAGGGAAATAGGCCCTCGTCGGTCCAGGCGATTGCTCAATAAGTCATTAAAAAAAAAAAAAGAAATAAAGAATTAAACTCATTTTACAAACAGTTATGTCTTGAGCCCGGATTGTTTCAAATCACTTACGAAATCTTACTGAATAATATGAGCTATTAAACTTAACAGCCGTCAGTTAAGCCAAACGCATAACCATTCTCGTGGCTTCAACATACTGGGGTAAAAATAGCTCACACTTAACATATCGAATTAGTTATGGAGAAATATGGACCGAACTACTTTTTTTTCATCAGCCAATAATTTTTATTAGCCAAACGAAAAGCTATAAAAAACAAAAAAAAAAAAACATGGTAAATAATAACGTTTAGAATTTCAGGAATACATTAGTGAATTGCAGATTGGCCCTTCTTGCACAACAAATACGTGTGTCCAATTCCAATATAGAGGCCGATTCTGTATTAATTCACTCAACTAATTTAATTTCCCCGAAGGCACAAGTCATGTAATTATTTTTTATTACGAACCGAAACACGTTTATGTAATAAACTAAAAAAAAAATAATAATAATTTGTAAATGAGGCGTTATAAACAATGTGATCGGTTGCATCATTTTGATCCAAATTAAAACATATTTAATGTGATATAAGGTAGATTTAATAAATACTGTCATTCAGTTAACGAAATTATTTTTGTTAACAAATCCATATATTCATAAGCCTTAATAAGGTTGGATCGGAATTTTTTTCCAATTCGAGATTAACTTCAACGATTTTTACTGAGAATCATAAAGGTTTGAGGAAATATACGACTATCAGCTGAAATTACTGGAGTAATTATAATGTTAATAGTACTTTTATTTATTTTTTTAGGTAAATAAGTATCGATTATAGAGTTTTTAAAACAAACAGATATAGTTCTTTTAAAACAAACGTGGGGAATAATTTATTCAAGAATTTATAAAGGCTTATTCATAAAAATTATAAATATTAACAATGAAACTACAAAAACATATGCCTGAAGTCTAAGCAAAATTGAAGCTCTGTTCACAAGTTAAAATATAACACACTTCAGTCGTATTTATTCTTTAAAAAAAATCTAAGAAAATATTTACTTTTCCTGGGATTTATATACGGGTACGTTTTGGCGGCATTACAGAGACTATTGTGTGCAGGGTTAGCTAAAATACCAGCAAGAGTTATCATGAGTGCATCAGCTACTCCACAGATTCCCATGCTGAACTGCCTCTGATCTCGTTCCATTTCCGAGGCGATCCTGCGGTAAGTGTTGACGTAACATCCCCCACCCAGCAGACCTTCCCAGACAACGAGGACCATCATGATAGCTAGGAAGGTTATGAAGCCTTGCATGACTTCGCAGGTGAACAGGACCACGTTACAGAACTGAAGAATGGCCATGACCCACAACCAGTCGATCTTCACTATGTTCATCGATGAACGAGATATGAATACTCCGATCTGGTAAAGGAGCTGGTACATCCGGTATTGCTGGTGATGCGTGAGAAAGCTATTTGGGAAGTACAAAAGTTCGAAGAGGCCCTGATTTATGAAGTACTCGAATAGATAGACCAGTCCGAAAGGAGCCATGTATCTAATCAAAAGAACTGGCAATAAACTCATCTTTTGCTCACATGTTAACAAGTCTGCTTCAGTTGGAATTTCAGATTCTTCTATTTTAACATCAGTTTTGGGATGATCAATAAAAAAAACGAAGCAAACTGCTTGAACAGTGGGTACTATCAGCATGATCCATATTGCAGCGGAAGGTGATAATCCTGCTGCGATTAGGCCAGCATAACTGCCAGCTCCTAGGATACCAGCGCCGCCGGTGCCCGAAGACCAAGTGGATATGACATTCTGAGTCTTAAAAAATACCATATAGCTGAGAAGAGTAGTTTCCCCAAGGCCACAAGAAAACGAAGTGCATACAACTCCCAACAATACAACCAACTTATCTATTCTCGATGCTACCAACACGAATCCGATCGCTGACAGTAATACGACACCTGCCATTCTTACAAAAATCATAAGTGGTAGAAAAGGTGCAATGACCTTGACCATCATGGTCGGAACGATATCTGCTAGAAGGATAACCCCTGTGCTCAGCGTGTTGCAATCTCGGATAAAAGGACTTTCAACGTGATCCTCAACATCGAAGTCGGAAAGAATATCGTGGGCAGCAGATAGCATGACGACGTATCCATAGTTGTTGCAGAGTCCCAGCCACCAGAAGGATATGATCGTCCTCGCTTCCCAGAGCGCCCCACACCCAAATTTCTTCGGTTCCTCATCTACCATTATTCTTAATCAGGTCACGATATTCATAGCTTAAGGAACAGTTTCTAAAAATAAGCAATTTTATCATATAATAATCTCCTTGATTTTTCTTATTTGTATACTTAATACAAACTCGAATTTCCAAACAAGGCGGTGAAGTCTTCAGTCACTACAAATAATCCTTAGAAGTCTGAGTCGGGTTACAGTTTAGTTAGTGGTTATTAATTAGACTCAAGCATGAATAAAATTCATCTATAAAAGATGTTTTGTAACCTCCACGGATTATAAATCAAAATACATTAGATAAAACATATGATTCATAATTATCATCAGTATTTCTTCTTAAAATCTCCACTTCTGTTATTATAGATTAAGAAGCATAAATTCACTATTTTTTACTTTCACTTACGTGTAATATATAGTAAGGGTAAGTATTGCGATCGAGAAAATTTTTAAATCTGAGTTTTCAACGGAAATACACGTTTTGAGGTACCCTGAGTCGAAATGACCAAGTCCCGAAAAATGGTCTGTGTGTCTGTGTGTTTGTATGTTAGCAGTCTAGCTCAAAAACGAAAAGTCGTGCGAAACTGATATTACGTATTTAAGATAGGTATGTGCCTTAGATGTGACAGCAACTTTTTCCTCAAAATCGGCTAACCGGAAGTGCCACTTTATATCAACGCTGAAACACATTTTTATAATTTTCTCAAAAACGGCTCTAACGATTTTGATTAAACTCGGTGTATCAATGTAGAATGAAGTAATCTTTAATGCCAATTAGGTCTTATCCTCATTGATGTCACTTTACAGGGCTTAAATGCCTAATGTTCATATACGTCTTCCTCTAAAGTACCTTTGATATGGTTTATATTAAAAAGTTAATCATTTTAAATTATTCAGAGTTACAAAAAAATGCTAAATATAACTTTTGAAAGAATTTGATAAGTTAATAAAGGAGAAAAAAAAATGCAGAAAAACCTGCATTGCTATATTCTCAATTCTATATTTCAACACTGCAAACACCACCTCTGGAATCAACTTACTCATTGTCAACTAAATATATAACTAAAATGACATCACTCAAAAATGTTCAAATTGGAGTTAGTCATTCTGTGGTTTATAAAAGCAAAGAAAGTTATGTGTTTTGTAAAAGCAGATGGAGTGACTAATTTTTTATTGCCTACTGTCGATATATTAAAGAGACATTTTGTAATTATAATGGTCTTAATGACTTGTTTTCTGTAAGCTTTAAGGTTTATCTCTGTTTAAAATACACTTCAAAAAATTTTATAATAGCCCAGCATTGCCAGAAAGTAATTGCTATTCAAAGTAGAGCGGTAAGTGAAAGTTGTGTGTTGCGAACACCAGATTTTTTTTCTTTTTTGCTGAGAAGCTGTTTAATACTCTTTATTTTTGGCAATAGAAACTTCCAGGTATACAAACAATTGGTTTATTTGTTGAATTACATGTCATGTTGACGTTTCGGGAAAATTATTCCCACCTTCAAAACATAATTCCAAAAATAAAGCATAAATTTACAATTTATTTATTAAAGTAACTTCATCAGAAAAATTTAATTTCAATATGAATCTCTTTTAATATATCGATTTGTGGTTCAGATTTAAAAATAGGTGCTAAAAAGAAAAAATTGTTGTTAAATTTCATTTAAATTCCTCTGATTCTAAAGAAAATTTATTCCTTTATCGAACAATTGAGAGTGTGCAGAGTAAGTGAAAAATATATTTAGGGAAATTGGAGACACGTAAAGTGTCTTCGCAGCCTGAATAACTAAGGTAATATGATAAAATAATCACGGATTCGCGTCCCGGTATCAGGGGACTTTTAAATCTTATATTAATTCATAGCCCTATCTCCAGGCCTGGGAAAACACCATATAGTCTAAAATGCGAGAAAGGAGGAGAAAAAATTGTTTGTCGAAGTTGTAAAAGAGAATGGGAGTTATACTACGAACCCGTTATTAATGTTCCACTATTTTCGGAATCCCATCTATACCACGAACAAGAGATCTTGGACCACTAGGCATGGTGTAGTGACATTTGTACAGATTCTTTTCTTTTTATTTTTTTAAGGGGTATAAACACAGATCAAATATTACTTATGTACATGTAAGCAGTGTTAAAATATAAATAATTCTGTCTTGATTATTTTTTCCAATATCCAAGTGTCTTTGTTTTCGCCTTATAAGAATTGAAATACTTAATTTGGGTTTCATGTCATTATTTGAAATAGTCATGCTCCACTTGTTTTTGAAAAATAATAATTTTTCTTTCCCTGAAAATGGAATCCTTAATGCAAAGAAAAAACTCTCCCAGACGATGAGCATATCAATAACGGTATGAAAATTCAATTTGGCCGAGGGGTGAGTTAAAAAGAGGTAATATTCTGGCGGGAGTGCGGTGCGACGATATCGCTGATCAGTTTATTGAGCCGTAATGAACCAATCAATTAGAAGCACCTTGGCCTCGGGAAAAATCCACCCTTCACCGATATAACTCAGTTAGTTAGGGGATCATCTGCCCTTTTCTTATCTACGGGGTACTGTACCTCACCCTCTTTTCATCCTTTCCAAGGTAAGGCATCACGGTATTAGGGATGTTTGAGTGATGCTGATTCATTACTAAGGAGCGTATTTTTTTTTTTTTTTTTTTATAGATCTCACAATTAAATGCATTTTTAAAATTTACATTATTTATAATTAATTTAATTAGTTGTTAAAGTAATAAATAATTACATTATTTATTTATAATTACGGCAAATTTTCCTTGTTAAACATCAGGATTACACTTTTAATAGGGTCCACTCTTTCAGATTGAAAACATAAGTGAATTTGTAACCTACATTTTTTTAAAAATCTAGTAGGCCCGTTCGAAAAATTCGCACAGCATATTGTTATCAAATGTCAGATTAATAAGAAAATAAAATAATGCAACCTATCAAAAGATAAAGAAATCAAACGTTACTTTATCGATAAATATAATCGACAAAGAAAACAAAAATTAATTTAAATCTTCACTTTTGTTTGGAACCAACATGTTTACAAATTACAGTAAGCTATATTTTTGCTAAAAATTGTCCGATTTTAGGGAAAAGTGTGTATTTTTTTAGTTATTCGCAAATAAAGTTTGTTTTCTTTTATAACGTTTTTGCCTGAATTTTCGGGATGATTGGACTATTTTGTCCGCCTGAAGGACAAGGAAGTCTTCGAAATTGATGGCTCAATCTTGAGATTTGTGGTGAAATATTGACGATGATATGGCTTGCCGATCAAAAACACCATCGATAAATAATATAAACTCCTCCTCTCTCGATCATAGAGTCCTCAAGTCGACGAAATGAGACATGTATTCAATGACAGTACTACAATTAATGTAAGGTTGTGTGGAAGCGAACCCTATGCCTTGCGTTATCTCGAAAATAGTACGTTTTTGGGCTTAAAAACGCAGGATCCGATAGTTCCGAGAGGAACTATCCGGGTCTTGATGTACGCATCGAAATCTTCTAGATCCAATTTGTCCCGTATCGATCTACAGACCTACCACTGTTCAGGTATTGAAGCCTAGAAAAATGTTTGTATCGACTTTATTTATTTTAGAAAAAAAAACAAAAGTGGAGAATACGATTCGCTAACCCCCCGTGAAATTCTGAATCCAACGGTACCCCATTCATGGTATTTGAGCATGACAGGAGCTTATATTTGGTACAAAACCGATTTCGAGCCTTACTGTAATAATATATGTACGAATTATCAGGAGAAATTTTCATTGAATTGTATTTTTAATAACAGGCTACTAAGTAACAACTCCATGGATTGAATCCGTCCAAAATGAAGCGCATCTAATAGGTTTTAATACGTAGCGACACTTTACAAGGGAAAAATAGCATTAAGGAAACAGTTGAATTCAAGTGAATAAGAACATGAGAAACAATTAATTTTATATAACATGGCCTCACTTTAAACCAACGACTTTTTTTTCATGAATCAACTTGAACATTCTTAAATTAAATCATCGTAAAAAAATTGAGATGAACCTATAAAATAAAAATTGACTTTTATTTCACTTTCTGAAAATGACAGATACCCGTCTGTGATATAAAGCCACTCATATATAACATTAAGATTGTTCTTTTTAAATGAAAGTAAAAGGTTTATATTTAGCTGAAATCTAGAAATAACGGTAAATCTCTGAGGTATGGTGGAGACTCGGCGAGTTGGTCTGAATCCACTGTATCGTGACGTATACAACAACCAAACACGATATAATCTTAATCTCCGGTCTAATTATTAAATGTGGGTTTATTAAAGATAAAATGAATTCTAAATTTTTTTTTTTCAGAATCACCAGAGTCGAAAAAAAAAAAGGATAGATTTCTCTTGGGAGCAAGTTTTGTAGCTTGAAAAACTATTCTTTGCTAAAAAGCCGTGCTTCCGTTCTCGAGAGATAATTGCGCCTCACAACTTTTCTTCAACGCTAATTATGTTTGCAACCCGTGTATCTGTATAATTCATGAGTTTCTGCGTTTTAATTGTTATTGCTTAATTTCCATCAATAAATAAAAATTGAAAAATTATGCAAATCTTTTTTTTTTTTTTTTTTTATTTATATGATATTTACAACTGTATACAAAAAATACGTCTGGTAAATTCACACATGGATATAAAGACATGAAACACATGTTGAGAAACTACCCATTGGTAGCACTCTAATAATATGTGGATATTAGGAGATCACGTGGCCATCTTCTTTTCAGACGCCTCGGAGGATTATCAGGAATTGAATAGGGAGCAAGGTTAGAAACAAGAGGGTTGGGATGGTTATGAAGTTTATTATGGAAGGACAGATATCTGGATTGGGCCAAATCTGATACATAAGGAACATTAAGGTCATTATGGATGATTTTATTTGTAACAAAGTAAGGAGCATTGAGGATTTTACGAAGGATTTTGGATTGTAAGGATTGGATGCGAGAGGAATTTGAAGGTTTGGTGGAGCCCCATAGCTCAATGCAAATCTTAATTCAAAATATAGTGCTGATTTTCTAAAGTATGGATCCACATGCCGATACTAAAACATTTAACTCTAATAAATATAAATTATGATATGCACTCGAAGGACTGTTCTATTTTTAGTATGTAATCTTCGAAATGTTATCTTAGGAAGTAGGACCCACATCTCTAAATATATGGGTATGTACTTTTTGTACTATAACACTGTATATTAATTCGTACGATCATAGGATTATATAGGAGGTAAGAGTGTTTGTGGTCATTGTCGCAATAGACACAAGCCCAAATTAAATGAAAAAAAATTACAACCCAAAATTTTATCTGTGTATAACAAAAACTTAATAGAACACGAATCCAAATATAAATGCAAATCATACTC